ACGTTTGTGAACTGTGCAGAGCTGTAGACGCTTATTTTAGGCCTATAACTATGTATTTCAATACCAGTCATTATAGAGACAAATTTTGTTTCTGAGGTGGTAAAAAAAAGTTTGAGAACCACTGCTCTACGGGATTCGAACTATACTGGCAATATATATTGAAAATAAATATACTATATTAATTATATAACAAATATATTATACAATATTAAATTACATAAAATAATTTAAAGGACAAATTCTTGACCTTTTGGCAGTGGTTCGAACCACCCGAACCCCCCTGGCTACGGGTATGAATATTGTCATAAAAATGCTTGTGACGCGAGAACTTCATGTCTTCGTGCTAGAGCAAACATCAAGACCAAGTTTTCTCGTCCTACTTCCATCCACTGTTTCTGCTCCACACACACATAACACACACACACACACACACATTCACCCAGTCAAGCAGTCAGTCGAGGCTGTCATGTGTGCCAGAGTCAAGCTGTCCTCCTTTTTGTTTAGCACTCTGTACTCGATCTCTCCGTCGAGCATCAGCAAGACTCCAGCCTGACCTTTGCCGGTAATCCTTATAAAACATAAATGCATGATATCTTCCCTCTCTCCGTTTCCCTCTCTCAGTCTGTCTGCATTAGACCACCTCACGGCCCTCATTACAAGCGTCCCACTGCCACCCCGATGTCACTGTCTAATTACAATCCCCCTTGATCTGGCGGATCGTGACGCGGGACCTGCAGCTCGCGCTCCGAGGGTCTTTTCCCCGCAGGCGGTGTTGCTGAGCCGCGCGGCCCGACAGCAGTGATGATGAGGCGGCGCTCGCGGCTCTCCCTCCCCGCCGACAGCCGGAGGATCATTAGTGGAGCAGCGGTTAACAAGCGGCGACAGGACAGCCAATATCACTTCCAGCCTGACTGACTGACACGCCGTGGGTGGCGACGAGAGGACAGGTGGGCACAAGTTCAGGAGGTTCAAACTCCACGGCAAGTTTTTTCCAAAGGGATTTTTTTTGTGTGTGTTATCATTTATTAATTAAGCAGCAAATTTATATGTCGAACTAGGCCTATGTATTGGAATTTGAGAAAAGGTTATTATGCTTAACTGAAAGCTAAAAGTAGTTGCTTATTATTTGGAATAAGGTTTATGGTGAGTGGAATAAAATGTATGATCGTGATATTTAATTTTATGTAGCCTAATTATTTTAAGTTCAGCAGTTGGATAGAAAAAAAATATTTATTTCAGTGTTTGTTTGTTTGTTTAGCATACCTGGTTTATTTAGCAACATTTATTCACTTTTTATTTAGGTAAACTATAAAAAAAATAACAAAGAATATGGGGCGAGGCAGTGGCGCAGTAGGTAGTGCTGTTGCCTTACAGCAAGAAGGTCGCTGGTTCGAACCTCGGCTCAGTTGTTGTTTCTGTGTGGAGTTTGCATGTTCTCCCTGCCTTCGCGTGGGTTTCCTCCGGGTGCTTCAATTTCCCCCACAGTCCAAAGACATGTGGTACAGGTAAAAGGTGTGAATGCGTGTGGATGTTTCCCAGAGATGGGTTGCGGCCGGAAGGGCATCCGTTGTGTAAAAACTTGCTGGATAAGTTGGCGGTTTATTCCGCTGTGGCGACCCTGAACTAATAAAGGGACTAAGCCGACAAGAAAATGAATGAATGAACAAAGAATATTATTTTATTTAGTTGTAAAGGATTTCTTCTAATTTTTATTTAGATTAAATAAATAAATAATAACCTGTATGATGTTTTCTACCAGAAGTAATGGTGTCAAGTTTCACATTGACCAAATAAATAAATAATAACACCAATAACAGGTAATCAGTGGTGTAAAGTAACTTACAAATATTCAAATTAATTGAGTAGTTTTTCTCAGAAATTGTACTTTACTAATGTGTACTTTTACTTTCCCGAGTAATAGTACTTTTACATAAGTATGAATTTTAGTACTCTTTCACTGCAGGTAATACATCTGAATTCAAAGGGTTTAGAAGCCACAGCTTTTTATGCATTAAATCATTATTGGCTATTATGAGTCATGTGAACAGAAGTCATAGACATCAAAGTCAACACAACTATTTGAGATTTAATAGTAAATGATGTGCTCCTCAAACAAAGTTTGTTTTCAGATGGCATAAGAAGACTTTTGAGTGTTTTTTGTCAAATCGCTATTCACTTTCATTACATGGAAAACAGCAGCAGGATTGGTGGTGAAAAAATGTACCACAAACAGCAACACAAGGGTGAGTATTGATTTTCAATTGAAAACTTTTGTGCTTATTTCAAGTTTTCATTAAAAAAAAGGTATTTACAGAAGCATATTTTCCTAATTATACAACAACAATGTATTCGAAAACATAAATCAATACATATTTTGGGAGGTTATTCACAGTATTTTATAAATTGTGGAGTGATTGAAAGACATTATGAAATATTCCCCTAAGTAAAAATTGTAATTCTTAATGTAATCAAATGGGAATTTACTGTGCTGTGATAACTATTAGGTTTTTTTTGTTTGTTTCTACCTTATTCTTATGTCTGTCTTGCTTTTTTCACAGATTTTCACATATTAAGCATATATTGTGGTGCATGTGCATATTCTCAAGTGTATGAGTGTGAATCAAATAAATAAAAGTGTGTGTGTGTGTGTGTGTGTGTGTGTGTGTGTGTGTGTGTGTGTGTGTGTGTGTGTGTGTGTGTGTGTGTGTGTGTGTGTGTGTGTTGATGCATATACATTACAACAAATTAAAAATCTAAAAACATCAGTGACAAACATTTGTCAACATTTTACTATAAATTATTCTTTTTAATTGCAACAACTATAATATAATCCAATATACTACATATTTCGGTCATTGTTTTGTTTTATAATACAAATTATCCTGATAAATAATGATCTTGATTGATAATTTTAAGATTAATATATTAAAATGAGCCAAATATAGGATAATTAATTAAAACTGTGATTAAAATAAAACAAATGATTAATGGAGCAAACTAGCTCATATCTAACTTTAAGATGAACAAGTTGATACTAACACACAAACAAAACTTTCATTTAAATTGAATGGGACTTTAAGGGCCGTGTTAACATGCTATAAACTAACATACATCTCTGCTGTTCACAATATCATAAGTGATCACTCAGATCCGCCACATGGACTCAGTGCTAGTGAAATTGGCAGAGATCTGTGAACTCCAGTGTGCTGCATGAAGCTGATTAATGATTAATGTGCGCCTCTGACACTTAAAAGGCAGAAAAGGTCAGCGGCTCCGGCTCTCAAAATACTCACAGAAATCACAGCGCAAATGACCACACTGTTCTGCACATATGCATTTCACTTCTTCAAGTTATATTTGAGAATAGATTCTCATTACGGACAAATTAATTGATAAATAATGTTATAAATTAAGTATAACATAAGAATGATTTTAAAAAGCTATGGGCTTAATCAATCAATCAATCAATCAATCAATCAATCTATCTATCTATCTATCTATCTATCTATCTATCTATCTATCTATCTATCTATCTATCTATCTATCTATCTATCTATCTATCTATCTATCTATCTATCTATCTATCTATCTATCTATCTATAGTATTTTAAACTACCTTGTGTCCAAATGAATTAATTAATATACATTGTTTAATATAAAGTAGTTATATACAAAAGGAGAAATATAACAATCTAAAATGGATGTTGTGCACTAACTTCATTGAGTCATTAGGTGGAGCTGCGTTTGTGTAAAGAAAAAAGATTTGTTAGTGAACAGCGCCATCTCCTGAAAGATCACTGTCTGAATATTTTTTTTTTTTAAAAATATTTAGCTGTAGGCAACTTACAAAAGTTTGTTTCATAAATATTAAATCAAATAATTAAATAGATTTAATAAAATAATTAAAAATGAATGCATTAAAACAACTAAAGTAAGCGCTGCAGAATATATTTTACATTTATTTTAAAAGTAATTTTTCAAACAATTATTTTAGCAAGCATGGTTATAGGTGATTGTTATATACAGACAATTTTAATGTGGCGATATCACTGGCCCATGAACATTTCCTGCTTGTTTTCAAACTATTTTGTAACTGTAAGGAGAGGCAATTTATTATTTAAAGATATATTGATCTTTTTATATTCTTGAAAGCTATGGAAATTAAAAGGAAATTCTTTAGGACCATTGTTATTGTTCACATAACTCAAAATGGTCTAGGGTTAGGGGAATTAGGCAAGTTATTGAATAATGATAGTTTGTTCTGTAGATTATCGAAAAAAAAAATATGTATAGCTTAAAGGGGCTAAAAATTTTGTCCTTAGAATAGTGTTTAAAAAATTAAAAGATGCTTTTATTCTAGCCGAAATAAAACAAGTAAGACTTCCTCCAGAAGAAAAAAAAATATTATCAGACATACTGTGAAAATTTCCTTGCTCTGTTAAACAACATTTGGAAAATATTTAAAAAAGAAGAAAAAAATTTGAAGGGGGCTAATAATTCTGACTTCAACTGTATATATATATATATATATATATATATATATATATATATATAAACCTCTAAATGTTGTTTGATATTTTATTCTAAAATTAGCCTTTTTCTCCGACTCTTAAGTGTAGGCTTAGAAATTTTACTTTTATAGTGATGAATAAGTTATTTTCATTGCCTTTAAAGTGAAATACTTGAACAAACGTACAGTAGGGGGCTGAGAAAAAAAAAAAAAAGGTAATTGCATCTGAACTCTTCATACTGTATATAAACACAATTATATATGATTATAATATAAACATTCTAATTTTAATTGTGCACACATTTAAGAGATTAAAAAACATTCCCATTAGTACAGAGCGTAACTAAATATAACATAACACACATATAAAATATTAAAATAAATATTAAATAATAAGTTAAATTAAAAATATGAATTAATGTATTACACTAATTTAATAAAATCTATTAAAAAATCTACATGGAGAAGCTTAAATAAACAATAGGAAACATTTTTTCCCAAACATTTCTTAAATTTATTCAAATATTTATGTACCCACAGATGAAAATATCATCACATATAATAATGCAAAATTGAGGACATAGAATTAACAACTGGAAGACAAAATATGGGCAGAGGTTTGGCAGGCTCTATTGAACACATTTTTAAAAGGGTTAATAGGCAGTGTCAGTCAGGACTTCAAATCAAGCTGGATTTCATAATGCGTAATATAAAACACTCAAGGAATTATCATCAGCACACACTGCAAATGGTCAGATCACAAATGACTAGTGCTCTGCGGGATGTGAACAGTTAAACACATATTCTGTCAGGTGCCATGCAAAACCATCATAAACTGTAGCTTTTTTTATGAATTCTGAGTGTTTAACAAAAATGCAGCACTTACAGATTATGTGAATATCAACATAAACCGAAGATATCAAAGACACAGCACTATTTATTATCAAAATCTGATATTACTATTACAACACTACATCTATAAAATGACAGTGTATTAAGTGCGTATTAGCTGCGCTACTCTGGCAGTTAATAAGTGAATCTGAAACCACAAGAGCAGTGAGTATTGTTCAATATCAGATCCTGTGATCTCCACCATTTGAATGTCTATTTCTGACCCAAATCCCCACCAGTCCATCTACCAAAACAACTAAAGTGAACTTCTAAGTAAAAGTCATACCTACTTCAGCAAAAGCAGCAATGGATTTATAAAAACCATTGTGCTGCGATTCGTAAGGCCCAGCCTTTCACATTAGCTTCCCCATAGCAAAGTCTCCTCCGTCTGGATCCATGAGGGAGAGGGATTCTCCGCTTGTTTCAGTATCAACCCCTCCATGCCTAAAATCTGCCACTAGAGGGGGTTTTCCTACTTTATTATTTCACTGAAGTCTTTTACGTGCCTTCACCATTAGCTTCTTCCTGCTTCGGTTCAGAATCAGTCGAGCGCTGGTCTTTCTCTTCATCATTCCCTGCATCCCAAAGAGGAAAAAATTAGAGAGTGTTGTTGGTGAAAGCACAAACAGAAATCACGATGTTTAAATAAAACAGTTTTAATGAAAATTAAAGTTTGTAAAGTTTTATGGCAAATGTTGGCATTGAAAAGCCAGATCTGAAAGTTTTAAAAAGGTTGAAGTCAGCAGAAGTCAATTATCACGATGCTAACATCGTATGTTTCTAGGATGTTTGTCATTCATTTAGCCTGTTAAACTGTGCTTTAGTTATACTGTTGTACTGTCACAAAAACAAATACCTCATATGTGTAATCATTACCTGGCAAAGCTCTTTCGGATTCTGATAAATGTTTGATTAACAACCGCGCTAGTCAAGACAGTGTGACAACATGAAGATGCTGGACTTTTAGAATGAAAAGTGAGCGGGGGAGAGGGGGTGTGTTTCAGGACATGGATTAGATCAAATTTAACAGGGAGGGAGGATAGTACATTTCCAAACACATGCTTTTTGTCAGGAATGCCCGTGCGGTCACTTATTCATCGATGAAAAATTACAATTTTCGTAATTGAAAAAAATAATAATTGCATAATGACTATCGGGAAAACTCCGGATCATAAATATTTGTATATACGTCCTCCACTGCAGCTTGGCAACAAGGTAGGCGACATCTAATGCAAATATCTATGACACGTTTCTAGCATGGTTATTACACTGTAAGCATGTATGTTGACAGCAAATATCTAGCATGAATTAGTACGCTAGCATGAATTAGCATGGTCTTAAAGTTAAACAACATTTGAGCTTGATGTCTGACAGTCAATTCAGTTCCTGGAGGGCCGCAACTCTGCACAGTTTAGTTCCAAGCCTAATTAAACACACCTGATCAACTTTAACTGATCAACTGAGTCCTCTACAGGTAAAGCTGCGGTCACACTAGAGTTTAAGCTTGCAAAATTCTGTAGTACGGCACTGCAAAAAGGGGCGTGACTAATCAAGGTGTTCAGACATTTAAGTGAGCGATTGGTCCATATTTAAAATTTCCGTCCAGAGAGGTCATGTTTTGATCCTCGATTGGTCTCACGCAGTCAAGTGATGCGATTTCACAGGTCAGAGTACACCAAGCTTGAACTTTGCAATGCGATACTTGTCACACAAGCTTGTATTTCCAGTCTTACACATTTGTGTGCGTATGAATGGAAGTCTATGGGGACAAAAAAGGTGTTTGAACTAAACTGTGCAGGGCTGTGGCCCTCCAGGAACTGAGATTGATACCCCTGTTCTAGTATGAAGCTAGCATGTATTGTAAGAGATATGAAGATTAACAGAAAAAGTTTTAATTAGTAATTTTGGACCCAAGGATTTATGGACTGCCTTTAGATGTTCAAAACATTTTTTGTTAAATTATCTGTTGACAGATGTTTGAGTCAAAAAATATTGTAAAATGTATTTCCTCTCTATATTGCACACACCTAAACATGAATGGTCGTAAATGACCATGATCCCTCTATGATGATTGGTATATTATTAATTTGATTTAGCATGGTGCTAACAGCATGTTGCTTAGAGTAGTTGCAAAGCTTTGCTAATGATATATGGATGGATAACAGTGAGATCAAAATGTCTTGAATTGGTGGATGTGTTAAATTTATTTCTAGAATTGGGGCTCTATTTTGACAGTCCATGCGCAGAGCGCAAAACGCAGGGTGCAAACGCTTTCAGGGCATGTCAGAACGCGTTTTTGCTAATTTAAGGACAGGAAAATCTGCTTTGCGCCGTGGCGCATGGTCTAAAAGGCTTGAGTTTATTTTCTTAATGAGTTATAGGTTTGTTTTGAGAATAAACCAATCAGAGTCTCATCTCCCATTCCCTTTAAGAGCCAGCAGCATCGTGCCAAGAGCGCATTCGCTATTTACAGGACACAAAATAAGTCTAAGTGGAAAAAATGAGCATTTCACTAGCAAACAGTTAACAGTTAACGTTTTTTTTTTTTTTTACATAAAACTGTTAAACAGAGCATCTACTGCGTGAGAATGAGAGATAATAGATGTACTTTCACATTCGCTCTTGGATGGGGAAACCTTTACGCACAGACATCAATTAGTCTATAAATAAATAATTTTGTTAGTTAAGCGCAAAGATTTGTTTCAAAACTATTTCTAAATTCAGTTCTAATTTCCAGCAAACGAATAAATGAACAACAATAACAAAATGTGCTCAAAAACCTGAGTTATATCCTAAAACACATGCTGTGCCCCATATGGTCTAAAACTTGACAGGTGGGCAAATCTAAGCTTGTTTTTAATAAAACAAATGTAAATATGGATATAATAAATAATACTGCTAATAATAATAACATTATACAAAAGCAAATTGTTATGAATGAACTGAAAAAGCCTCCCGAGATGAAGAAGACATAAAAGCAGTAATTTTTTCATATTTATGTAGGCTAGAAAATAATATGTTTTGTAATATTTTAATCCTTTATACTTATATCTAATATCTATTTGTATGATATCCTATATATATCCTTAATATTTAATTTTTTTCATATGTAAAGATATTTGCACTATTGCTCTCTTTTGCGTATCAAGCAGTGCGTAAGCGAGGCGCAACTCTGCGCCAGAGTTTAGACCGGGTTTGTTTTGGTCTAATGAAAAATATATTTTAGTTTCTCAAAATTGCAACGCGCCAGCAGTGCGCCTCCGAACGCCTTCCTTTTTAGCACAAATGAGCGCTAATGCATTTGTTATTTAAACAGCGTAGCGCAACGCCTCAAAATGACTACCAAAACCAAACTACCGACTACCAAAAGACTATTGCGATGTGCCTTGCGCCACATTGCGCCGGGTGTATGATAGGGCCCTTAATGTTCAAAGTATTAACACACTCCTAAAAGTCTACAGGATTGTTTTTGTCATTATAATAGTTGTTTTTACAAAACTGCAAGTCTGATCAGTTATAAAATATATAACATATACCGAGTTAGCATCTTAAATGTCTGACTCAAGTTTGGAGGTTGTAGCTTAAACACTGAAAAAAAGTTGTTTCAGAAAAAGCTTAAAGAGAATTCCAGCATGTTGGCTTTGTTAGGTCAAGATAACTAGCATATCTTCAATGCCCTATGGCAAAGCAGGCTGTTTAGCAGTAGCTGCTCTGCTTTTTTCCAGAAATGCCCTCAGCTAAAACAGGCCTATATTTGATAAAAACACATCAATGTTTGTCTTGAGCTAAAACTGTTGGGGGAAGCCACTAACATGCCCTCTAAAACCTCTAGTTTGCCCAAAGCAGGCGTGTCTAATATATTATTGATGGGCACCCTGCCTCTCAGTGCCATATTACATGACCGGCTCTCATGTTGTTTGTGATTAGTTAAGGAGACTGTAGTGACCTGGTTTGCCGATGCTGAGCTCAGACAGCGTTTGGGAGAGTCCGCTAGCGTCCAGCCCACCAGAGGATCCCAGGATGTCGTGTACAGCATTGCGTCTGCCGGTCCTTCCAGAGGCGATGAAGTCTTCATACGTCACCTCGACATCAGTCATATCTAACACGTTTCAACATAGCAGTGCCTGCCAAAGAGAGAGCTTTTATTTAAACGTGCTGTGACTTGGAGTTAATAGTCTTTCAACATAAAAATCCATGGTTTTAACCAGATTTGACCCTGAATATTTGCAGTTTTTAGCCAAAATTACACATTAGTGTCTTTTTAAGATATACAACCAATTAAAAACTTCAATTTGATTGCATTTCACATTGAGGTCATTTTGGATTTAATGACCATATTTAATACACCAATGGGGCTGAATTTTATTGGCATTTTGTTTGCCAATTGACAAATCACTGTAGCATAAAAAATGTATGTCTTTTTCTTTGAACAATAAAAAAGTGTTTCTTTTATTTATTGTTCTTTTATTTAGTTTAAAAAGAGTATAAAAGGGACAGTTCACCTATAAATGAAAGTTTACTCAAACTCAAGTGGTTCCAAACCTTTATGAATTGAACAGAAGTAAAGAGCACAACACTGTTCTTTGAGAGTCACACTTATACAGTATATACAGATATTAATATTTTATTAGTGGAGGTCTCAATTAAATTTTCAGAAAGTTCAATTAAATGATCATGCTATGTATTTTGGTTAATTTGTCGGGTGAACTGTCCCTTTAACGCACCATTTACACGGGGCGTCAGCGTCAACGCTTCCCATTCACTTTTAATGGTAACTTCAGGCGTTGCCAAACTGCATTGTGCATCCTGCATTGTGGATCCTGCATCAACTGCATTGGAAGCTTCAGCCAATCAGATCGCTTTATGCAAATACACCAGCTAGACAGTGGCCTATTCCTAACTGAATTTCATTGGTTGGCGCTGCTACGACGATCGCGTTAGCCCCAACTTCAGACACGCCTTCAGTCAAGCGTTGACGCTGAAGCCCTGTGTGAATGGGGCGTAAGAGCCACAGTTATGCATAGATATTAATATTTTGTTTATGTATGTCTCATTTAAATTTTCAGAAAGTTCAATTAAATGTTCATGTTATATATTTTGATTGCATTTGTGTGATAGAAAATATAAAAATGTATCATGATGCATGAAAATGTATTTTTTATAATGCAATTAATTTTTTTTTTTTTTTTTTTTTGACTTACTACTGGGCCACATGCAGGTTCCAAATTTTTGGGGGATTTGTGAAAGTTAAAAATATGAATTATGTTTTATTTTGTTATTTCATTAATTTATTTATTCATGGATTCATGTTTGTTTTCACTGGTCAGTCAAATTAGCAATTCCATTCAAACTGTCCAGATTTGCAGCAGAAATAGACATCTTTTAAAAACACTGAACATGTTTTTACTGATCCCAAAGCTCTGAATGCAATCCATAAATGTCAAACAACTGTTTCTATTACTAGTCAGCATTTGAACAAACCATTAGGAATCCCAAACAATGTAAAGATTACATGAGGTGGCATATAATCTGAGCTCAATAAGAGGATAAGCTTGGATGAGAGACTGTTTATTCAGTCTCACATCTGCGATCTCATGCATTTCTAAGTGATGCATTTCTAATTGAATCTATTCTTTTTTATGTTGTGTGAAAATAAAATGTGAATTAATTTTAATTTTAGAGTCCCCACTATACAATGCTATCCTGATATGTGTCATAATCATTATACAATGTTATTGCAATTTTAAATATATTTAGATATTCTGTGATACATTGCAACTTTAAATTATGCCCCCAAAGAAAACTTTGGCAATATCTGTTTTACCTTAACAGAAATACTTCTCTATTTGTTTATCTCATTATGGATTTATTGCTACATGGCAAAATGGGATTATTAAATAAATAAACTGACCAACAGTTTAATGAAAAACTGTCATAAATGTACGAGTCTTTTTCGGGATGCCACCATTTTTAGTTTACTAACTGCGTGCTGAAGGCAGGGTTTCTGCAGGTTTCACAAAGTTAAATTTAAGTGATTTTAAGACATTTTAAGACCATTATGAACACAATCTAGATGCTAAGATGCTAGATGCTAAGAAAGGGCTAGATGCTAAGAATGTTATTTGAATATCCCAGATAGAAAAGATTTTCACTTGCCCCATCAAAAATTATTACAATTTTATACATTTAACAATACAACAACAACAACAATAATCATAGTAGTAGTAGTAATAATAATAATAATAATAATAATAATAATAATAATAATAATCTTTGATTTTTTTTACATTTTCAAATGTATTTATTCACAAACTCTATAACTCTTACCAAGAATAGAACAAAACATAGCTGTCAATTACTTCAGTCTACAATAATAATTAAAAAAATAGGTCAGGTCAGTATCCTTAGCAGTAAATAAATAGAAAACTTTTTTTTAAGCAAATGTTACTGTAAGGAAAGTAAAAATAAATGCTATTTAAAAAAAAAAAAAAGTTTAATTGAGGTGGATTGTTGGTGGTGTAAATGGCCAGCTATCCATGAACAAAGGAAAATTAAAACTTTTTCAAAAAAGATTTAAGACCTACAACACAACATTTCAGTAGATTTAGGACTTTTTAAAACCTAAAATTTAGCTTTTGTGATTAAAGACATATAAGACCCCGTGGATATCCTGGAAGGTGACCGTGCTCACCTGAAAACACCACAAACTAGTGAACTGTAAAGAAATTAATTTTATACCAAATAGTATAATGAAATATTGGTGATTTATTATCAATTTGGGAATCCATGTAAATATCAAAACAGATGTGGCACAAATCTGCAAGATTATCTCGAATTTTGTTGAACTAATTATCAGGGATGGGATGTAAGGACGGTCTTCCCTGAGCTCACGGTTATATTTAGCTCATGTTATCATCTCAGCACAGTCATTCTGCCTTTAAAATGATGCCACTGTGTGGAGAAACACCCTAAAGGAGGTCATCATTACAGAGCTGATTCACTGTACTAAAATAAGAGGGAAATTTTTAAAAATAGTGTTGGATTTCGCATAAAATGCTCAATTCTTTTCCAAATGACTTTATGTAACGTGGCTATACCAAAACATGTACTATTTTTATTCTTTTTAAAGTTAAGTGAAATTAAATATAAACTACATTTATAAAGCAAAAAAATATATTTAATTTTATTGCCAAAGAAATATTTCTCATATTATTTTTATTTAGTTTTAATACTGTATTAAAATGTCAAACCAACACAAAAAGCAATACAAACTATAAAATGTATTTTTTTTTTATTAAATTAAATTAAACAGAGCAAAAACAAAGGGCAACGCAGCGGCACAGTGAGTAGCGCCGTAGCCTCACTGCAAATACAGTAGGTCACTGGTTTAAGCCTCGGCTGGGTCAGTTGGCATTCTTGTGTGGAGTTTGCATGTTCTCCCAGTGTTCGTGTGGGTTTCCTCCAGGTGCTCCCGTTTCCCCCACAAGTCCAAAGACATGCGGTACAGAAGAAGAAGTGTGTATGGATTTTTCCCAGTGTTAGGTTACTTGTGGCTGGAAGGGGATCCGCTGCGTAAAACATACTGTGTGCTGGATAGGTCGATGGTTCATTCTGCTCTGGCAACCCCAGATAAATAAAGGGACTGGGCCGAAAAGAAAATGAATAAATGAATGAAAAAAATACATATTTTTGAAATTGCAGGAAAAACTAATTAACTTACAATAAATGTAGTTTATTTTAGGTTGTTGCCTATAGGAAATACTGCTTTTTTGAATTACTGAATTACTTGAATTTCACTCAAAAAAATAAAACACAAAATAAAATAAAAAACATTTAAAACCACATAGACTTAATAAATAATGAAAAAGACAAAAATACAACTAAATTTAGTACAAGCCCCAGTGCTGGAAAACACACAAACACTCTCTCATTCACACACTACAGCCAATTGAGGTTTATCCAGGTCACTTATACTGCATGTTTTTGGTCTATGGGGGAAACCGGAGAACCTGGAGGAAACCCACATGAACATGAGGAGAACATGCCAACTCTACACAGAGTGTAGACTCTACACCTGGCCCAACCGGGACTAAAACTAGCGACCTTCTTGCTGAATAAGTTGAAGATAACTCAGCATTTTTACTGTAGAGCATACACCTTTTTACACAACAAAGAACAAGATAGTTGTTGAATGGTGTGGAGATAGCTGTGCCTGTTTTCTGTATAATATGCAGTTGAAGTCAGAATTATTAGCCCCCCTTTAAATTATAATTTTTTTTATTATTATTTCTCAAATGATGTTTAAAAGATCAAGGAAATTTTCACAGTATGTCTAATGTTTTTTTTTTCTTCTGGAGAAATTCTAAATTGTTTTACTTTGGCTAGTATAAAAGCAGTTTTTAATTTTTTAAAACCCATTTTAAGGTCAACTTTTTTTGTGTGTGTGATAGTCTACAGAACAAACTATTATTATACAATAATTTGTCTATTTACTCTAACCTGCCTAGTTAACCTGGTTAAGCCTTTAAATATCACTTTAAGCTGTAAAAAAGCACGTTTGTTAAAAAATATCCAATAAAATATTATTTACTGTCATTATGGCAAAGATCAAATAAATCATTTATTAGAAACTAGTTATTAAAACGATTATATTTAGAAATGTGTTGAAAAAAATCTTCTCTCCGTTAAACAAAAATTGGAGAAAAAATAAGCAGGGGGGCTAATAATTCTGACTTCAACTGTAGGTATCCCAATTACTTGCATGCAAAAGTAATGTATTAAAATATTAATATTTAATATTATTTCAAATGAACACTGAATTTTATTCTAGCAAATTTAGGGCTTTTCTGTCTGTAATACAGATATACGAGTGCAATACATATTTTGTTGCTCAGCGAACACTGAATTTTAACATAAGCAAATTTGAATCCAAATGCAAAGCAAATGCAAATAAAGTGTCTACTTCAATGTTTCAATAACTTGTCAAAATGTAATAGCAATACATGGGCGAAACAACTTTCCATTATCATTCAGCACAATATATACTGTATTGATGTAAAAATAAAACATTTACTCTAACCTCAACTTTAAAGAATAATTAGTCATCATATTAAATTGTATTATATTTTAAACATTTAAAAAGTTCTTGCTGACAAAAGAATGAAACTAGTTTGAAGGATGGTGGAAAAAAACAGAATACATTAAATTTTTGGGGGCTCAATTGTAAACCTTTTAAAAAATCTATCAAATATGATTGCTATAAAAACATTGCTGCACTGACTAAATGCTCTTATATAAAATCATAGATTTTTTTTTACTGCAACATTGATTTCCACAAGTCAAATCTATTCATCATCCTCACAATAAAGGCAAACTGAAACAACATCAATGATATTGAACAAAAAAGCTAGGTTTGCCTTAATTTAACTCAAGTTCTGCACGTTTATTCCACACAACCATGACCAAAAACTGTAAACTAGAGCATAAATTTAATAGTTTATATCACGTAAAAATGAATAAAACATAAATGTACTGCGGCTACCCGGTGTCGTCCTTGATGTCACGTGTACTCGATTTATAACATCATATCAAAACACATAGCCTAGCATATCATACCCACATGACATATCTAGACATGACAGCTACAAGTGGCCATCCCAGTGGAGAAATTCTTACATTTACAGTCCAGCACACGGCGTTTAAGCTCATATCAATGAAACGGTTATATAAAACCGACAAGGTAACACAGAAGCTAATGAAACAGGCGGGCGACCGTCTAAAATGATATACCCAGAAAGCCGAACGAGTCCGCAAATTGTACCTGTTTTAGGCTGGACGTTTTTCCTATAATTGTCACTGCTGTACAGTTTTGTCGCTCCGGTTTACTTCAGTTGGATGCGACGGTGGCGGTGCTGCTGCTGCTTCAGTCCATGAGTCTGCAAGAGAAGATAGAGATGACGTATGCGCGTAACCGGGCGATGCTGATATGCGAGGATTATCCAAAACCATTCTATCTGCTTATGCCCAGTAATGCCGAGGAGTTTGATTCATTTCAGTGACTCGAATCTTTTGAACTTGTTCACTGATTCGCTCAGTAAGGGCTCTGCCTCTGCACACACTCGCACTTGTCTACTTGCATGACGTATTTCCTGTATTTGGCACAACTTTTAACACACTATAAAATTCTTCATAAAATATATCTAGTGAATAGTACTTTGGCAAAGTATTTGGAGGTTGATAGTTCATGCACATTTTGTAAAACTGAAGACGAAACGCTGATTCACATTTTTTTTTTCAATGTGAAAACACAAAAAGCATTTGGAATAGCTTATATCTCCATATAGGTAATTATTGCTTTTTCCAGACCCTTTAAACTATACAAGATATTATTTGTTACTATAAAAGTAAAACTGATTTATCAGAGAACTACATTATTACCTTTTTTATTTTGTATGGAAAGTATTATCACAAACAAAAATTATTCAATTCGCAGCCTTCTTTTTCACATTTTTTAATTTAAATTGATGTTTTTATTAAATCTCTTAGACTGGTTAATAACAAGAAAAGTGATAGATTCTTAGATTATTTTGACAATTATTTTAGAAAAATTAACAGGGTATGAATGTATCGTTATTTTTTTCTTTTACTTTTCTTTGCTTTTGTTTCTCTCTTTATTTTATTTTTTATTTTTTTATGTGTGTTTATATTTTTAACCTGATCTGTTATTATCATTGTTACTATCATTGTGTTTTTGTGTGTGTGTGTGTGTGTAAAATTGGATTGTCTATGTTTGTTATTAATTAATTAAATAATATATAAATAATTTGAACACACTAAAAATTATGTTTTGAAAAAAGTTATGGTTTATTGAGCTTTATAATTTGTACTTTAAAATAAATATTATCTACAGTCACATTACAAATTAATTCAGGAAATTCACAACATACTTACATATACTCTAATATTTAATTTTAAAAAAGTAAATAAATAAATAAATAAATAACAGTGACAACATGGCAATGTAGCTGACTACATCCATATTACATTCAAATTACATAAATTATTACTTTATAAAACAGTTGCAAAGTAATTATTTATTTAAAACAAGTGCTTACCCAAGAGAGTGTGCTATTTCAGATGCAGCCTTCTTCTTGTGTTACATTCTGTTTTAAATACTATGTGATTTGAGATGCAGAAATTGTTTGGGGTTTTATTATGGATAGTTTGCGATAAAAACATACATTTTTTTAATGCACGTAGGAAAACACCACCATAAAATTAGTTATTTCAGGCAGTTGCCAACTATGTACTTGCATAGAATCTAAAGATTCAAATGGTATAATAAAAATAAATGAATAAACAAATAAAAAGGGTTGCATGGTGGCACAGTAAGTAACATGTTTGCCTTACAGCAAAATGGTTGCAAGTTCAACCTCGGCTGTGTCAGTTGGCGTTTCTTTGTGGAGTTTGAATGTTCTCCCAGTACGCATGGGTTTCCTCCGGGTACTGCAGATTCGGCCACTGTCCAAAGACATTCACTATAGTTGAATTGGGTAAGCTAAATTGTCCGTAGTGTATGAGTGTGTATGAGTGTGAATGAGCAGCTTTCTTCTTGTCGTCACATTCTGTTTTAAATAGTATGTGCTATTTCAGATGCAAAAATCATCAGAAGTCGCCACAGCAGAATGAACTGCCAACTTACTTTCTAGAAAATAGCCATAAGTTGCTCAAATAGCAATAAATAAGCATACATTTGTTTGTCAAATCTCTTCATTAATTGGTAGAAATGGAAAACTACTATTAGCTAAAGACCCTTTTTTATCAGAGCTTTTAAAGCAATATTTATTTATTCATTTTCCTTCGGCTTAGTCTCTATTTCAGAGCTCACCATAGCAGAATGAACCGCCAACTTATTCAGCCTATGTTTTACACAGTGGATGTCTTTCCAGCTGCAACCCAGTACTGGGAAACATCCATATACTCATTCACACACATACTCTACGGACAATTTAGCTTTCAATTCAATTCACCTATAATGCAGTCTTTAGCCTGTGGGGTATTTAATCTTTTTATCTCATTATTTTTATTCAATGAGAATTACTCAGGGTGGCGTGGTGGCGCAGTGTAGTGCTGTCACCTCACAGCAAGAAGGTCCCTGGTTCAGGCCTAAGCTGGGTCAGTTGGCATTTCTGTGTGGGGTTTGCATGTTCTGTCCGTGTTTACATGGGGTTTCCTGTGGGTGCTCCGGTTTCCCCTACAAGTCCAAAGACATGCGGGTGAATTGGGAAAGCTAAATTGTCCGTAGTGTATGTGTGTGAATAAGAGTGTATGGGTGCTTCCCATTGATGGGTTGCGGCTGAAAGGGCATCCGCTGCGTAAAATATATGCTGCATAAGCAGGTGGTTCATTCCGCTGTGGGGACCCCTGATTAATAAAGGGACTAAAACAAAAAGAAAATAAATGAATGGGAATTACTCACATAGCCTATGTCTCATTCAAACAAATTGTTGTTCCACATATGTTTTCATTGAGGAAATCTCAGACAGTGCAGCTGTTGCTCTGATTTTGACATGCATTTCTCACCACATTGGCAGATGTGCTGGGATGCCATCCAACATTCAGCAATTCAGTCTTTAAACAAGGGCCCTATTGTCTGGCATTTCATCCAAAAACACATGCTCATTGTTGCATAAAACGGGCAAGTAAACAATATCCTTACACAGCCTAAAACAGGGAAATACGGTGCAATATGGCATCTGCAGTGGAGTATAATTACTTGAGTATTTGTTATTACTCTTTTTTGTAAATAGTAGCTTTAGCTCTGAAAATATGCCAGTAATACATACGAAAGATAATTTATATAAAACGATATGCTACAATAATTATACATTTAGAGAGTAAATATTAAAAGAACGCGAATAATAACATAAACAAAGGCCTATTATTTTAAATCATTTTACCGGTCGCCTCCCCCGTCCCACCTAGCGGCCAGATAAAGGTACTGCGCCGCATTTATTTGCAGGGAAACAGGAAAAGACCAATCAAAAATAAGGATACTAGCATGTGGAACCGCTACCCAGAAGAGCCCAGTTGCTACAGCATCGTCCTTAGTGTCTCGCCAGGCAAAAAAGATGGAGGAAATTGAAGGTAAGGCTCTAAATAAACAATAGACGCCTATATAAATATTGTGACTAAGATGTATGGAACCATTTTAAACGCAGTCTGCGTGTTTGTGTAAAGGAGAGCAGCTTTGGTTTGTGTAGTGCTGTGTTGTTTGTGTGGATCACCATGGGAGAGAATGACGTCTTGTAGGAACGTACAGACAATTAAATGAAATTATTTTTAAAGTGTTTGCTTTGTACATGTACAGTATGTATGCAAGTATGATAGCATATGTGGTTTTGTCAGTTGACGTTTGATTTATGTAAATTAGGACACAATCCTGATGACATTTCAATGAAAAATGGTCCCTTATGTTTGTTAAAAGCTAAAAATCAAAGGTCAAATTTTTTTTATATGTCGTTCAGGCAAGATTATTTAGTCTCTACCTACTAACTGGCATCCTTATTTTGGTCCCTCAGTTGTTTTACATGGACTGACAGGAGTGACCTATTTTCAGATCTTCCTCCTGCTTGATCTGTTCTCATTTGTTAAGCTAATCTAAAGCCACTGTCTCTGAGTGAACTAGCCACTTATTAGACACACCCAGACACACTGAACTACTTCATTGTTTTGTGTGTGTGTGCTTTTTTAAACCATGTGTTACTGTGGTGATCTGTTGCCTTTTTTAATATTTTGTTTTTGTCTTTAGAATCTCCTCCTACTTCTGAAGAGCTGGTGCCCTGCAAAATATGTGGAAGGAGTTTCTTTCCGAAGGTTCTGGTAAGTGTTTCTGCATATTTACAGATGATGAAGTGATAGCCGGATATAAATAATTTATCCATTTGTATAATTAAAAATAGGACCGTTTTAAATGAGAAGTTTAAGTTAGATGTGCTGATATTCAAATTAGGCTATATAATAAATATATGTAACATAATACAACAATATATTACATAAAATCTCATATAATATAAAAGTATGGCCACAAAACCAGACATAAGGGTCATTTTTGGAAATTGAGAATTTTACATAATCTGAAAGCTGATTAAATAGGATTTCTCCTGATGTATAGTTTGTTATGATAAGACAATATTTTGCAGAGGTACAACTATTTGAATATCTGGATTCTGTGGGTGCAAAAAACTTAAATATTGAGAAAATTACCTTTAAATTGTCCAAATGGTGTGCATATTACTAACCAGAAAATACATTTTGATATACTGTATTTACAGTATAAATATATAAAATAAGTAAAAAGTATACCCGTGCAACGTAATGTATGACTTTTGTGGTCCATGCTCAAATATTATAAAAACAAACATGTATGATATTGTTATTTTTGGTACTTTAAAACACTTTGAATATTTATTTATAATTTAAACTTTAGGAAGTCTTTCTTTTTAAGAATATTCAGAGATTGATTTATTCACTGTGGGGCTCATCACTGCCCCATATGCTTGAAGGTTATAAGCTATTTGTTATCAAACAAACATGTTCACATTATATTTTGGCCTACACACTATCTGAGAAATTGACTGCAACTGTTTTTATAGGCCTTCTTTACTTCTGTAACAAACAGTAAAAAAGGAACATTGTTGCAGAAGTTATGTTAATTAATACTTTAAATTAATTTGATCAAAATATTTGTTTATTTTTTATCAATTTTTTTACATACAATAGTATATAATATTAAAATATTATAAAATTATATGCAGTATGTTTCCGTTTGTGCAATGTTCTGTGTTGCAATTTAAAGTACAAATACAAGCAATGTAAACTTTTCTGCTGACTTCTTCACTTCCACTTTAAGTCGCATTAAGTTACAGTGTTACAGAGCAAGCAGCTCTGTCAAAAAAGTTTCATTTATATTTTTATTTTTTAATAACACAGCATATTATTACAATTTAAAAGACATGTTTTGGTTTTCATTTTAATAAGCATATATAATAAGTATAATAATAATATATTATAATAATATAATAAGTAATTCCCGTTATTCAATGCTACATTTTCAGCAGTCATCATCACCATTTCGGTCTCCAGTCACGCACTGCTTCATAAATCAATTTAATATGCTGATTTTTCTTTTTGTACAAACATTATTCAGTTTTGTGAATCTTTGGAGGCTTTGATCATCATTTATTCCAAATATAAATCTTTTGGAACACCATAAATTGTCTTTAGTGTCACTTTTGATTAATTTAATAAATCACTGCTGAATAAAAGTATCAGTACAAAAATACTGATCTCAAACATTTGAATGGTAGTTTACATTGAGTTACCTAGCAATACACTAAGCACTTATGTTGTAATGCAGATGCCAGATCAAGATTAGCGAGGCATGCATTTCTCACAGGTCACAATGTAAACACAAAACCTGGTTTGATCACTCAATCAGTGCATTGCTGTCAGATATCTGACATCTGCAGCCTTTTTTCCTGTTCCAGAAAAAACATGTGCCGATCTGCCAGAAGACAGCGGCCAAGAGGAGGAAGGTGTTTGATTCTGGCAGGCAAAGAGCAGAGGGGACCGAAATTTCTACAGTCAAACCCATAAAACCAAAGGTGAGGAAACCACCATGTCCTGCTGAAACACTAGAGAAACACTTACACACTATGGTTCTGTACACTTTATATGTTGGCATATACAGTATCTCTCATGCTCGCAGATGATGTGCACAGGGTGTTAAAGTCTTTAAATGTTTTAAATTTCAAAAAATACATTTTAGGCCTTTAAAAGTCTTAAATTTACTGAAATATTGTGATGTAGGTCTTAAATCATTTTAAACAGGCCTTAATTTTCCTATGTCCAAGTAAAGCTACCCTATCGAGCCAACACCCAATCAGCAATAATCCAACTCAAACCTTTTTTCATATATAAGTTTTTATTGCAAAGAGATACAATTCACAACAGCTGTTAGACATATTCCCCAAATTAAATACCCTAATCAGAGAAAGAAAACTAAAGCAACACATCCCTTTACATGATCGTCCATTAATACAAAAAGTATTTACTGAAGTAACCAGGCAATTAGAAAAATTCCTAGTTTAGGCTGTATACGTCAAAAATTTTATTTTTAATGGTTTTAAAAGAGTCTTAAAGTCTTAAATTTGCAGAAACCCTGTGTGTAGTGAACTATGAGTGAATACAGTCAGTATATTATACAAACTGCTGTATATTCAGCAGCAGTGTTGTTCCCCATCACCGTAACAATCCGTCTGCTGTAGTAAAAGTTCTGCTCGCCATCAACATATTAGGGTATGTTTCAATTAAAACAAACTCTGGTGTTATTGTAATACGGTTCATTTGAATAAGTGTGAGTGCAGCCATTTTAAACATTGACACACTCCAAAAAGTGGAATGTGTCTGCTTAAAAAAAGCATAGATTGGTGTTTAAATCAACTGTGGTGCAGTTTGACTGAAATATGAATGCAACATGGACCAAATATATCCAAGCAAACCAAAAAAAAAATAAGCATGGAGTCTGTTCCATAAAGCCAGATTAGCTGTCAACTAGTCTGTTAAATTTCAGTTACGTTTACATCAATCCTGGTTTTTAGGTACCATGAAGGTAGCTTGGCTTGAATCACTCTTTGTCGTCATGATGTTTTAGTCCACCAATCAACTTTGAGCAATCTCTTGACACAATAAAGGCACTCCTCAGTTTCTCATACTCATGATTAAAGGTCACAATTTCATAAAACACTTTCAAAGATATGAATCATCTGGTTTTAGCAAAGATTATTTATTATAATTGAAAAAAAGTTACATCTGTAATCTGTTATGCATGAGCAATTATAGTTTAATATTTTTTTGTGTAGTTAAATGCAGATACAGTAGCTGCAATATTAATGAGCTTAATTTAAATCAGTAGATAAAGCTTTAAACAAAAGACTATGGATGAGCTTTTTTATGAGTGATCTATTATACAATATAGCTTCACAATGTCACTTGTACTAATAAAGCAAGTTGTTTTCTTTAATCCTTAGTGTGTTCAGCTGCCATCATGGTAGACGTCATTGCCGCAATGTTGCACACATCATAGTTCATTGTTTGTCTGTGTGATGGAGGAAATCCTGCCTCTATTTTGACTCATTTACGCCTTTTATCAGCTCTTAACAAGATCACAAATGATATAAACACCAATACATGCAAACTCTTACTGCAAGTGTTTTTTTGTTTGTTGGTTTTTGTATCTGTCTTAAAGATGACACAAGTGCTACGTGAACCAGGAATAAATGCATGCTTTTATAATTCTATATGAACTAAAACCAAGAGAACTGAACTTTATGTAATCGTAATTGTGAACAAAGCCATATTAGTTATAGAACAACATGAGCATAAACGCAAAGGATCCTTATGTTTTACTTTTTTTAGAACCACTGAAAACAGTTGACAGTGGAGTTTACTTGATGTGTATATCAACAACAACAAAAAAAAGCTGACACACAGCTGGAAATTTTAACCAACTATGAATATGGAATCACTGAGGTGCGACAGTATAGTGAGAATTTCTGGAAACTCTAAAAAATATGTAAATATTTTTTATATTATATAGAAAATGTTTTTAGTAATTTGCAACATGATCATTTAAAGCACTGTTGTTTTAATGAAAACGTTGAATATACAATAATATATAAAGACAATGGCAGCGGTGTTTCTCACTCATCTCAATCAAAAAGGAAGGCCTTGTATTTCTGCATCAACATTCATAACAAATCAAAACAATTCTGTACATAAACATTTTCTTCACAATTTGGTTGTGATGTCATGTCATCTGTCAAAATTAAAAATAAGTTTGTCAAGTTTAATAGAACATTTAAATAAATGAATAAAAAAGAACAGAACAGTGAATCATGTTTGTTTTGTTTATATTTTCTTGTTTATTCCACTATGGAATAAAGAATAAAAAAATATTCATTACAATTCAAAGGGGAGAAAAAATTTAATTAAGAGATTTTGTTCAGAATGATGAGACAAATAATCTAAATTTATAGTTTTTTTTATCTGAATAATCAGCTTATTATGTTTTTTTTCACAGTGTTACATTTTTGCAGTTGCAAATTTATTACTTGCAATTTTGTGTGCAGATTAAACATTTTTAACAGAAGCACCAGAGAAATTAAAGTTTTTTTTTTTAGGTCAATTCTTAATCATTTAGTCCATCAAGTGATTGTAAACGGTTTCACCCATAGACTCACATTTATCAGGTCCATGTTTATATGAGAGTTGTTTCTCAACTTTCTAAATAAACCCAAGAGTTTATTTGAAACATTGAAAATAAAGCTCTGTTAACACAATAAAGCTTTCATTGAACATCTCTGATTTAGCCTCAAGACAAACATGGCAAATGAGAAAAACACCTCGGTCTTAAACAGAACTTCTGTTCTGAAACTCTTCCTCCAAGGCTATTCTCATATCACAACCCAGTGTCCTGAATCTTCTGAAACCCCTTTTATGTTTCAGTTACAAAGTTCTTCCAGCAGCTCTAAGTCTGATAAAGTAAGTTGAATGTTTGACTATGTATATTCTTTTTGTTGAGTTTTGTGTCTCACCATGTTACTCCTAATATTAAGGGCCCCCAAATTCTTTAACATTCTGAAAATCGCTGTTTTTGTTGTTAAAATCTGCGGTTTTCAAATATTAAAAAAGGCGGTATTCAAGACAGTCGCATAATTACTTCTGCAGTAATGATGACAGTCTTTTGTTTTCAAAATCTTATAGTAGATTAAAAGGATAACATTTGGTCAAAATATAATCTGTGATAAAGTAGTTATAAAAGTTGTTTACCTCTTCCACTCTGCAGCTATTTTGGGGTTTTCTGCCTGGATTTTCCCACCCAAATTGAAAGCTTCAAATACCCACATACAGAGGTGTAGCTGCAAAATGTTGGTATTTTTATTTTACTTCATAAAGTCACATTTGGAAGTGTACCCTGCAGACAATTGTGTTTGTTTTCAGCACATCAGCAAACTGAAGAAAAACGATTTTTGACTCATCTATGCAAAAGCTGTGCTATTCAAACTGAATGGAGGTGTCATACCATTGTTGTTGTTTTTTTGTATAATTTTCCTCTGTCCAATTTTGAAGTCTCCCCATACTTCCATACAGTGGTATAAATATAAAATGTCAGTGTCTTTCAACAGAAAACCCTTTGAAAATACACAACAAACTGCTGAAACTGATAAATACTATGTAGTATGTTTTCTGCCTATGTTTGTTCACCGAAATACTAGGAGCTTTTTTGTTTTTGTTCTAAAGTTTCTCTTTGAATTGAGAACCTCAGGCCATGTGTGTATATTTTGTTTGATATTAGAAGATGTGATCAGACATTGGAAAAAATATAGTCTATATAGTCTATGTAGTATGCAAGAGTTATTGTAATAGAAATATTATTATTATTTTTTATAGCGCAAATAAGATTATTACAGCAAAATAAATGTCAAAGTGTATATTAGCAGAAAATAGAGATTTTTTAAATGCTACTTTGCATAAGAGTCTGATAAATACTACTTTGCATGTTTCTTTCCCAGAATGCACCAACTTCATATCCCTTTTCTTGTTTTACAATCTGTTTTTGAAACTGTAACTCAGCCCCTGTGTGTTTGGCTGTTTTGTAGGTTCTGACAGTAACCTAAATGTCAAAGTGATGTTTTCTGTTATATGAACACTAGGTGCTTTTTATTTTTTGTTTTAAACCCGGACCCTGTGTGCTCTAGCAAATTTTAGAAGATGGAAAAGAGCAATCTTGTCTCATGTAGTATGTGTGTAAATGTAAGTGTAAATAAGTTTCTCACAGTAACAAATGTAAAAGTGATACCTCTGTAGAAAATAGAGATTCTACGCTTTTAAATGGCACCATATATAGGGCTAGTTTCTGCAGAATTTGGGGATAAAATAGTCAAACAATGAACATAAAATGTATATACAATAAACATTTCACTCTAAATAGAAAGCCATGTGAATAACCAGGTTGTTTCAAATTTGAAGTTGATATCATAAAAACCGTTGTTCCTATCAGAACAATTGTTTAGTCAATATTCAAACAATAGCCACAAGGTGACATCCAACTCGATGCAGTTCTTTTCACAAACCCATCAATTTCTTTCACAATATCAGGTCTTTCACCAAAAAAAGAAAAAAAAAATAGAAAATATGAAAATTTTAAGGGTAATCCGCTTGCGATTAGGCCATCCAAGATGTGTTCATTGGTGATTCATAAAATGCAAGTCAATGGCTAATGACATTTTGAGTGCAAAAAAAATGTACAGGCAGAACAAAATTAATATTTATGGCTCTTGACGATATATTGAGGGGATAATCAGTGTGTGCAAGAAACTGTAAAAATTGTTTTCAAACATTTCAAACCGTCTCAGGTTACGTGTGAGTTTGCACCTGAATCTCTTTAGTCATGTATGCTCTCATTTTTGACATTTAGATTACCGTTGCTGTCATCAGAAATTTGAATAGTTAATCATTGTATGCTTTCGAAGTTATGTAGCTGCTGATTTATAAAATATAGTATAGTATCCTGCATTCCTTTTGGTTTGTGACCGTTAAGTTAAAATCAAAATTTTGCATCTTTTTTTAACTAAACATTTGGTTTTAAACAGCCTGAGCCACCCAAGAAGCAGTCCAACTGGCGCCGAAAGCACGAAGAATTCATCGCCACTATTCGTGCTGCCAAATCCATAAACCAAGTGATAAAAGATGGCGGACCCCTCCCTCCACCCCCTCCTCCATCGTATGATCCAGGTTAAAAACACTTGTTTAGTGACAATTGAACTAATTTACAGTGGTATTGGCAAAAACATTAACAGCAATTGACTGTTTCAGATTATATCCAATGTCCCTATTGCCAGCGGCGCTTTGGTGAGAATGCAGCAGATCGACACATCAAGTTCTGCAAGGAACAAGCATCCAGAATCTCCAATAAGAGCAAGCTTGCTGGAGGTGATAAAACTAAACCTCCAGCCAGAACTCAGGTGAGGCTACACAGGTCACTCGTTGGAATAAACCAAACCAAATTTTGGTGCCATTTACATTAGGGCTGGGAATCTTTAGGGACCTCTTGAATCGTTCTGATTCCGGGAGTCATGATTTGATTCCAAAATGATTCTTGACCTATTTTTTTTTTTTCAATGGTGCAAATACATCTTTCCAAGTTTTTATTTTAACTAGAATTTCTATGTTTTAACTAGAGTTTATATGTTTTGATTCTGATTGGCATCTATGTATGAAAGTACTTTTATCTTTTAAAAAAATATGTATTTATTAATAGTGTCATGGTATCACTTTTGTTAAGGTTAAACCTTATTGTCTGGAGAGAGATACCCTAAAATGTTCACCAAACTTCTGAATCTTTGAATCCATCTTCTCCTCAAATTCAAATCCCTTATACTCCTTTGAGATCCAAAATTCCCCTTCTCATTTTTCTGTAATGTATAGCTTTCATGCATGCATAGGTGTTTTAACATGTGGTTTCCATCATATGGATAAGGTTGATTATCTCAGCCATTTCTTTAAGCAACCTTATACACAAAACAACACAACTATATGTTTATTTTATGCACACATGCCTTGGTTATACACATTTACTTTATACTGTAAGAGAGTGAAAAAATCTTTGTCATCTTATATGTAGCATGAACAAGCTCTGAATGTAACATTAAAATAAATACCAGATTACAAAGAGCAGTGATAAAGAACATAAACAGTTGTTATTCCAAAATGAGAACATTTTTTTGTTTTGTTTCCTTATAACTTTTTTTACAAAGTTATAAAAATCATATTTGGAAATTACATTAGAGTTGCATTATATTACATTAGCTTTTAGTTCAGAGCTACAGAGAACTAGCTTATCACTCATTTGCAACACTTTCATTCACAGTCCAAGAGTGATATTCTGCTGTAGTCTGTGTTTATGCATCACATTAATGCCACCTTTTACGTATTATAAAACAAAAGATACATTTTCCATGTTAATCACTATTTGTCCTAACCAGCCACAACAATTGTATTCAATAACCTAATGTTATACTGAAATGTTTATGAACAAGTAAAGCTTGCAAATTAATTGATTTAAAAATACTGTCTGGCTTTTTGCCTCTCGGTGCATAACTTTGGTTGATGGGAATCCAGCTTTATAGTCAGGGAAAAGTCAGGGAATTTGATATTTGTTTTAGAGTGGGAACCCTGCCTCTGCTGTCAACAGGTCATTTTTTCAGTGGAAATGTTCTGTTTTTCAGACCATTGAGATCATTTTCCATGACAATCCCAGTAGATCAGCGGTTTCTGAAATACTCAGATCAGCCCGTCTGGCACCAAAAACATGTTCGAAACCCCTTAAATAATGTTTCTTTTCCATTCTGATCCTCCTATTTAACTTCAGCAGATAGTTTTGCCTTTGTTTTCAATCATGCCTTGAGCGTTTGCCATGTGATTTGGCTTATTGAATATTTGCACTAACAAACACTGGGTGTACATGATAAAATGGGTGTACATAATAAAGTGGCCAGTTTTGTCTACAGCATTTTAAGCTGATTAGTATAAACATTTTATATTTTCACTTCTGCAGTACAAACCTCCTGCACCAAAGAAGGCAAACTCTCCCACTACTTCCAGCGTGTCTTCTCGTCTACCTCAGCGCTCAGCTTATGGCCAGGGTGCTGGCACAGGTAAGGACTTGCATTTATTTTATTGATTGGCCTGTCATTGACCGATTTAACCAATTATTCCCCCTTGTTATTTATATCAAGATTCAATTTTGCACAGTTTGATGCAACTATCGTACCTCTACTTTTTTCCCTGTCGTTATTTATGCAGGGGTTTGACACACACATATGTGACTTTTCTTTTTGCATTCAGGATTTCCATTTTAGTTTTAGCAATTTTGTTACTACATAGCTAGCATGAAGAGCTGCGTTGACTGTCGACTTGATAAAAGACAATAGACCCACACCAGCATATGACAAGGCTCTCCAATCCATCACTGACAGTGCAAACTTCACACTGGACTTTAAGCAGCCTGACTTTTGTGTCTCTCCGCTCTTCCTGAATGAATGAAATACAAAATTTGCTTTAATCTGAAAAGAGGACTTGGGACCACTGGGCAACAGACCAGTACTTTTTTCTCTTTAGCCCAGTAGTGGCTTGACATGGAATTCTAGAGCTGTAGCCCATGCCATGCTGTATGTGGTGGTTCTTGATGTTCTGAGACCAGCCTCAGTTGCCCTTGCTTGACAATCCTCTCAAGGCTGCGGTCATACTTGTGTACCTTTTCCAGCAACATTTTCCCCTCTTCCCAACACTCTATTAATAAACTTAGATGCTGCACTCTGAGAGCGTCCAGCTTCTTTTGCAATTGCCCTTTGAGACCTTTCCTCCTTATGGAGGGTTCCAATGATGGTCTTCTGCACAACTGTCAAGTCAGAAGTCGTCCCCATGATTCTGAAGCCTACTTGGCCAGACTGAGACAATTTCAAGGCTTTGCATTAATTAGTGGACTAGATTGAGACACAGGGAGCCACACAATGTTAAACTTGTCATGATATTCTAATTTTGTGAAATACTGGATTAGTTTTTTTTTTTTTTTTAATCTTTAATCAATAATCAGTAAAATTGAATAAAATGAAGGCTTTGAATATTTCTCTTTGTGTGTAGTGAACTAATATAACACACGTTTCACTTTTTTCAAACAAATAATTGAAATAAATGGACTTTCCCTCGTTATTCTAATTTTCTGGCACATACCTGTGTGCATACAGACATTTAATTTTCAGACAGTTAAACTGATGCGCCATTACGAAATTGGCACATTTAAGATCTGATTCTTTTTTTTAATCAGTGATCTTCACTGCCTTATTGATATATGATATAAAGCAGCAATCAGACCAGACAAGAAGCACTGCATTAAATTCCATTTTTCTCCGCCATGTCTTGAAAATATGGAATTTTATTTTACCCAAGTATTTTCAATGGAGTTCTCTCTTCTCTCTTTCATCTTTTGCTTAACAACTAAATGGATGCTTAAGCCTATATTACTGATTATATTTTAATCATTACCACATCAATGCTGTAAAAAAAAAAAAAAAAAAAACATTCATTCATTCATTCATTTACTTTTCGGCTTAGTCCCTTTAAAAATCTGGGGTCGCCACGGCAGAATGAACCACCAACTTATCCAGCATATGCTTTTTACGCAGCGGATGCCCTTCCAGCTGCGAATCATCACAGAGAAACATCCACACACACCCATTCACACACATACACTATGAACAATTTAGCTTAGTCTTTGGACCTGTGGGGGAAACCGTAGCACCCGGCGGAAACCCACGCCAACATGGGGAGAACAAGCAAACTCCATACAGAAAGGCCAACTGTCCCAGCCTAGGCTCAAACCAGCAACCTTCTTGCTGTGAGGCGACAGCACTACCCACTGCGCCATCGTGTCATCGTGTCATCGTGAAAAACATTAGCTGTGCATATACCCCAATGAATTTGGTACATTTATCATTAAAAGTTTACAAAATAAAACCAAAAATATATTTTACTTAAATGCATAACTATAAGTCACATTGCTGAAAACTTTGAATTGATTTCTAAATTTTGGTTAAACTATAAAATAGTTTCATATATAAATATAGTACAACACAGAAAAAAGTATAAGAGCAGTTCATTTTATATTTTGCATTTTTATCTAAAGAAAATAGAATAGCAATTTTTTCAATAATAATTAGATGTTTTCATCAAAATCATCTGTCCATTTCTCTTCCTCCTCAGGAATTCCTAGCAGCAAACCCTCATCCACAGGCTCAATAAAGAGCACACCAACAGGATACTCTCCGTTACGAAACAACTCATCCGGCTTGACCAGCCCTCCCTCTGAGTAAGACAATCCCTCACCAATCCTGAATCCCAACACTTTCTCCACCCTTTTACACCAACATCATTCGTGTTTTCACAGGGGGAACATGAAACCCAAGGGTATGGTTTCACAAAGCTCACTGAGAAATCCTTCTACTGGTATAGGAATGAACAAGAAGAAGATCCAGAATGCAGATAACTGTATTTCAAGGTATGGCATTGAGCTTTTGGGATTCATGGTGTGAAGAGTTTTACTTCTAGCAGTTCCACATTTTGATTTTGATTTGATTAATTGTACACAAATTCAACCATTATTCTTTATTAGAATGTAGTTAATTCATTGCTAAAATATTATTACACATCCTGCCCAAAGTTGTCTTCCAAACATTGTGTGTGGGACTCTAGTTTGATGGCTACATCTTTCTTCAAGTCTTCTTATAGTTATTGCTCTACTGAAAATAGTTATTGAAATTTAAACCTTTAAATGCACTGTGGCAAAATTGTTGCACTCATGTTATATTGTGCTCCATTTGTTATAGGGAAGCACATTTCTGCCACTGAATAATATATTATTAAAAACTTAAATGTGACTCGGTGTCTGACAGTTTTGACGAATGACTTGCAATTGACAGTTGACATCTTTGTGTCTTTGCGTATATTCTCCAAATTGCGTGACGTGTACACACATTTGGTTTGTTCCAGTAATTAAAAGAAAAAAAAAATCTGGCAGCTTACAATTCTGACTTTTTGCAAGTTAAGTGGAAATAGCTAGATATAAACCCATACTTCTCAGAATTGTGTCACATAAACACTTCATTTTTGATCAGCAATTATAAGAAAAAAAGAGATCTTCGCTCACATATATGGAACAAAAAAGTTGCATGTTTACATCTCTTACCGTCATACTGTACTGAAGTCTGATCAGAAGTGTAAAGATGTTCTTGCAGTATATTGGTATGAATAAAAAGTACTAGACAAACATTTCTTTATACTTCCAGTTCACTAACACTGCTCAAATGTGGCATTATTATACTGACACAAAAATTAATTTTGTACAAATATAACCGATGTACAGTAAATGACAAAAACAAAGTTCAAGGCTGATGTCTCATTTTCACAGAAGCAGCAAATGTTTATTTATTTTGGATTTCTTTGTATTTATAGTTTGATCATTTATTTATTGTGGACGTTACGCATTAGTATATCAAGTCCTCACAAATTCTTCAGTAAAATAAAATAAACCTCATCATTTATTTAATGTTGCCTACTACAGAATACAAGTAAAGCACACAGAAATAAATTTGATTGAGCAAGAACTCCTGTTAATGATGATAAATTTAGTGCAGATACACAGCTTTTTATTAGATAATCAAATATCTGAAAAAAGTGTACGCTTGCGTATACCTTAATGTGGCAGTAAGTACTTAACCCATTTAAGTTCACCTACAACTATAGTTGCCATTTTTTTTCTACATGTTATACGTGTTTAATTTTTTATGGCATGCAAGCAAAAAACCAAGTGAAAGATTTCAAGAAAGAAAAAGGAATTGATTTACTTCCTGTCACACGAGGCTTTAACTGCCTACCCCTAGTTCCAGGATGCAAAGTGGAGGCAAACCCTTCCAAATAAAAGCAATTTTCATGTTAATAAAAATATTTTATTTACAAATGTATATCAACATAATCATGAAGGTCTCTAGATTCATCCAAATAAAACCAATCTTTCGAGAAAGATGTAGTTTTGTGTATAGTCTGTTAAATGTTCAAGCGGCAACTACAGTTGCCTGTGGGCAAATAGCTTGTAAGTGCATAAATCATGGGGAATGAGGGAATAATAATTTAATAAATCAAAGTTATTGGCCTTGTTTAATATTTTTAGTTTTTTTGCTTTCATAATACCACATTTAAAAATAACCCTTTAACTAATATCTTTATTTTTAAAGTAGCCTTTTTTATAGACAATTTGATACACAGTTAAAACCGTCAAAGAAAAAAATAATTTCTCCTGTTGTTCTCTCCCCCTCAAAGATTTAAAATAACACAGAGAGTAATGAACTCCTGCTGTTAAAAAGCAGAATCACTGGAGAAAAACACAAAACTAAAATTCAGTCACAACCTTAAGCCCTGCTGTTCACACAGACATGGGTATTGTCTGAATTGCTGCTTTTTCTATATGGTTTGGCTATTCATACACACACACACACACACACACACACACACAAACAAAGTGTCAGGGATTTTCAAAAGAGCCAGGGTCTGTGTTTTATAGAAAATGTAGATATAGCTCTATCTGTCTGTCTATCTGTCCATCATCACTGTAAGACAAATGGATTAGTTCTTTGTGTTTTCATATTCATGAAATATGATAGATCATTTTAGGGGGAGGGGGTGGGGGGAGGGGGGGCGGGGGGTTCATATCAATTGGTTTTTGAAATTTAAACACAACAAATGTGTTTATGAATATGAATTGATCTCCTCTTATTCAAAATTTTCATTGAATAATGCTTACAACGTATTTGCCCACCGGCAACTAGTTGCCATATATTCAAATGTGATTTAAAAATAAATAAATAAATAAAAACCTGGAGAAAATAAATGCTAAACATGTTCTTACAGGACACTGTTAACAAGGAAAAATGCATGAAACCATTTTAAAACATTTGGGCACAAACCGGTTAAGAGGAACCTATTATGCCCCTTTTTACAAGATACAAAAAGTCTTTGATGTCCTTAGAGTGTGTATGTGAAGTTTCAGCTCAAATTATAGCACGCACACATACACACACAAAATGTATAACTCTTTAAAGGTGCCCCTTTTAAGCTTTGTTCAAAACTGTACTGTTTTGGTGACTCTTGCTGTAAATTTAATTGAGTAACAGCAAAAAAAAGAAGATGAATGAAACCCATGGTTCAAAATCCTCAAGCCACAAGTAAACACTTGAGTTCATTGAGTATAGCTTATAAAAGATCTCTCTGTTTTAGACCAATTTTCCTACCGTGCTTTGCCTGCATTGGCTTAAAAACATCTTGGATTTCTTTTTTTTTTTTTTTTTGTTTACCAGGAATGATATGAAAAACGAAAACGACTTCAATTACTCCACAACAGGCACCAAGTTTTGCCATGAGTGTGGGACCAAGTACCCAGTGGAGTCGGCCAAGTTCTGCTGTGAGTGTGGGGTAAAACGAATGTACATTTAATATGTATGAACACAAATTGTACAAATATATAAAAAGACTGACTCACTGTAGCTCAAAAACTGAGCTTTCCTTCAAATACACTAGTGTACTTGGCGAATCCATGTGCTGTACAAATATCTCCTATCCCAAGTAAATCTGATTCCAACCTTTTGCTTAGTTTTGTTTTTATATGGAAAAGAAGTGCAATATTATTGGTTACTGCTACAAAAGGAGTATTATCAATCTTATATTTACACACAAAAAAAGAAAGTTTAAATGAACTTTTATCAATATAGGCCTTAAAACGGGACCATATCACGCCGTTCTGATGTTAACAGGGCAGTATATCGGTGTAGTTTGCTGTGTGAGGGAATTTAAGTGCTATGGTTTATTATTTAATTCAATTTGTTAGGGTAAATGTTTAGTATGACTAATGCATTGACAACGGTTCTTTTTGCTGAGCAATTCACTTTTTGTATTTTACATTTGTTTTTATATGTTCTTGATTGTGTTTTTAACAGTATTCCAGATGAACATGTCCTGTAGAAGTCCTCATTGTATATTTATTAAACGCGCAGTCATCACATCCCAAGTCCAGCATATTTACACATTCAAAACATAAAGGCGACTCGAAATGTCATTTTACATCCTTCAAAAGCAGACAAGCTTATGGGAAAAGTAGCTTTACAATGGTATTTTATTGCTTCAGAGCCTTATCACTGCTGTCCACAGGGGAGAGGTAAAGATCCATGCTGGTCTCGAGCTTAATATGAATTTCAAGCATCACCCTGTACCTTGTAATGCTTGTACTTCTGCTGCTGCTCTGACAGCGTACGTTATATCTTATGAATACCTGCTTAATGAATTACGACACAAATGTTGCCATTAAGAAAAAAAAGAATGGTCAAAATGGCTCCTGAATTGATCCTACATAAATAAAGGGGTTTAAATGCTCAGATTGTGTCTTGTTTGATGCTTGTTTTATTCAGGACGTAAAATCTAATCGATTAAAAAGATTGAAGATTCTGTCATCATTTACTCACTCTTCAGTTGTTTTAAAACCTTCATGAGTTTCTTTATTCTGTTAAACATGAAGATATTTTGAAGAAAGCTGCAAAATACCTTTGACTTCCATAGTATTGTTTTTCCTACTATGGATGCAATTGGTTAATGGTTTTGAGCTTTCTTTAACATATTTTTTTGTGTTTAACAAAAGATAAAAACTCATGAAGGTTTGGGACCACTTGAAGGTGTATAAATGGTGATGTATCCATTTTTGTATGTATGGTTGCCAATTTATTAATATTGGAATATTAATATAGGATTGAAATGCATTACAAAATTGAGTTACTCTCCCAAAAAAGTAACTACAGGTAGTTGCTTTTTATGGTAAGTAATGCGTTACGTTACTTTTCATTACTCAGGCATAATCTGTTTTAGAACTTGTTTTTTAATTTTTACTTTATTTTTTAATAGAGGAGTTCTGCAATACCAACACACTGTGTAACCCACACCTTAATGTAATAAAATAATTTAAGGTTAATGTTATCTGAGAACTTTCCATTGAGACAGTTCCCTTTTCTTCGATGCGTTCAAAATAATGAACACATTCTCTCATTGAATGCATGATTCATTGTCTAATTTGAATAATGCAATTGATTTTTTAAAACACTAATTATTTATAATAAAAAAGTAACTCAACTATTTTTTTATTATTATTAATATGTTACTTGTTGCTTAGAAAAGTAATAATATTATGTAACTTGTGTTACTTGTAATGCATTATCCTCAACACTGGTTCTAATGGGCGGGCTCTCTGCCTCCAAAGACATCTACAAAGGGAGTGTTTCTGCAGACTGTTTTATATTTTCTTTGATTATAAAAATAGAACTCATTCATTTTTATCATTATATGCTTGATATATTCACACACTACTACTGCACAACTGTGTTTCAAGAGTTCACACTTAGCTGATTATTGATGATAAAGCTTGTTTGGCATGCTGTCCTGGGAGAGAGCCCTGAGCTTATGGGATCCTCGAGCCCTGGGCTTCCTCCCGTTAGCAGGGCGAGAGGAAAGTTTGAGCTTAGGTAGATCTCGATGACTTATTTCTAGCTAATAACGAATATATGGTATCAATTTAGTATGTTCAATTTACTTAGGGTGCATGATTTTTTTCGGACTGTGAGAGGTAACCTGACAACCCGGGATAAACCCATGCGAGCACGGGGAGAACTAGCACACTCCACACAAAATATCAATTGGTTTAGTAGGGACTTTGACCAAAGACAGTGCTGATCACTGTGCCACCGTGTCAGCCATTTAGAAAGGAGGGGGAGTAGGGGTGGGTAGGGGGGATTCTTAAAGACGCTGAGATAAGGAATCATTTGATTGATGAATCAATCGTAAGCTGATGAGGGACCAGCCATGACCAATCATAAGCATGTGGTCCTATCAAAATTAGTTAATAAATAACCTTCACTTAAACTTGGTTTCACTTAAACTTCACTTCATTTTTGCATAATAGGTCCCCTTTAAAGACCATGGGCTGTGGATTTAAGCATACACTTAAAAATCAAATCAGTGTGTATGTGCACTTTATAAATGAGGCCTGTGAATGGGGGAGAAAATGCCCTACAAATGGTTCTAGTTTTTGCTATTTAGACCCAATTTCATATGACCCCGACACCATTTTGTTCTGCTTTTGACTATTTTTATGAGGTAAAGACAGTCAGTATGTTTTTGATTAGAGCTTGCTTAATCACATTTGCCTCAATAAATCTTTGTGGTCTGGATTTACACTTTTCTTACATAATGTTATTATAAAATAAAGTGTTCTGTTGAGATCACTTTAGCCCAAGCATAGCAGAAGTGCACAAGGCATGCTCACAGACACCAGTCTATAAGCTTAAAAACAAGAAGTTGTCCGGAATGGCACACTAAAAACTTCCCCCGGGACAACACATTTGTTAATCTGCCCTTTTGGAAGCACTTTTTGTGATGTAATATATTGCACTGTTGGCGAGAAGTCTGCTGGAAGCCTCAGCTGTTAAAACAGCCAGTGCTTTCCATCTTAAGTGGCTCTTAAACTTTTTTGTGTTTACATCCAAACTCTGGAAGAAGCTGGAAGATAGAGAGTCTTTAAACTTACAAATGAGTAAAAATATAGTCAGTACTGTGTATAAAAAATAGCCAAATAAATAATTGCAAAGCCACCTAAACAATTGAGAGGGGTCTGGTTGCAGACTCGGTGCAGTGCAATCTGAGCAGCATCCAATGCTTTTTAATGCGCTCACCTAACCTTACCCGTCACAGTGACATCTTTCAGTCCACTGAGTGCATTGAGACTGACATTGCATCGCTGAGTGAGGCAGTCTCAGCTTGCATCATAAAGGCTGCATCCAGATACTATTGGAACAATTGGGAGTTTAGGAGTCAAACGTCTAAATACAAAGTTTTTTAATTGCAATTTTTGAAATTGCATTCAATAGTGTTTAAATCAGCCATGTGATAAGCAGTTTCATAGTTAGACTGATGAATCTGTCAAATAAAACAAATAACAAAACAAAATGTAAGCATTTGAATAATAAATCATAAAAAAAAAACTTTATTTGGAACATACTGTAAGTTAGTTTTATAGACAGTATTGCCTTAGAGGCCACATGGATGTTTTGCTGATTGCTCTGAAATAAAGCAAGTTTATGAGGAAAATAAAAATCACAGGTGTTTCTGTAATAAATCTAAAGCTGTATTTGGAAGGCTATAAAAAATATCTATTATGGCTCAATATACCAATATACGAAGTAGTCGCTTCCCAAAGCATAATAAGTGTATTTTAGTTTAAGGTATAAGTGAAAAAATATATATATATATTATAGGCTTTGAAACAAATTTTGGTTAGTTACAGCTGCATGCAGTTGGACTCCATTTCATTTGCAGCACCTCTGTGGCACAAATAACAATCCCTCTCGTAGACCAAGCAATGTTTTGTTGAGTTGTGAGATGTGAAACATTCTTGAAGATACCAAGTTCAAGGTCAGTCATTGTAAAAGCATGGGTTTTCCTCAGTCAAATCCTGAATCTTGTGAATGTTGCAAAGTGGGTGGTGTCCAAGTGCTATATTCTGGCTTACTCCTCAAATTTCCCATGCTCTGAAAAGTATTGTGCAGTTCATAGTAGTTCTGTACGCTGTAAAGAATGTCTTTCACTTTGCAAAGCTTCCACTTTCCTGGATTCTGCGGCGACTTCTTCTGCTGTTTCTTCACAAATCAAACAAAAAGACGATTCAGAGAAAATATCAAATGGAAGAGAAATCACAGTGAGGAAATTAGGGGTGTGTGATGGTGTCAAAGTGTTAGCCCGGTTACTGATTTATCTTTGCATTCCTTTTTCACACAGGGCTATGTACAGTAGAGTTTGTATTTTGTTTTCCATTAATAATGAAAAGCTTCATTTCAAAAACAGCATGATGTGTACACTCGTGGTATCTTTCACTAATATAAAAATTAGTTTGATAATCTGGGATATTAAAGTGTGATAAACAAGAAATCAGAAAGGGGGCAAACACTTTTTCACACCACTCTAAACATGTTTTGCTAATAATAATTAAAGGATATTGTCTTTAGTGTTTTTTATGCTCCTGTCATGGATAAATGAAATGATTAAATGTCAGTAAAAGATCTATAACTCGGTTCTGGAGAGCTGCTGTCCTGCAGAGTTTAGCTCCAACTTGCTTCAACACACTTACCAGGAAGTTTCTAATATATCTGGTAAGAGTTTGATTAGCTGCATCAGGTGTGTTTGATTATGCCCCTTTCACACGGGGCTTCAGCGTCAACGCTTGACAAATTGCGTGTCTGAAGTTGGGGCTGACGCGATCATCATAGTAGCGTCAGCCAACAAAATTAGTCAGCAATAGGCCACTGTTTGAGCTGGTGTATTTGCATAGAGCGATCTGATTGACTGACGCTTCTGTCGACGCTTAAAAAGTTGAGCAAGTCCCAACTTTTGCAGCGAGCAGTGCTGACAGATCCACAATGCACTTCGGCAATGCCTGACATCAACCATTCAAAGTGAATAGGAAGCGTTGAAACTGACGCCTTGTGTGAATGGGACGTTAAGGCTGAAGCTAAACCCTCCAGGACACCAGCCCTCCAGGACCGAGTTTGGGCACTCCTGATCTATAAGCATAAGGGTTATTTTGTGTTGAAGTCATTTCAGCTCAAACACTTAAGCCTCATTTACACAAGAGTGACTAGCTGCGGCAAAGCGACAATCGAATGTTGATTTTAAGTAAGAGTGAGCGACTTCTGTGTGACGTGACAAAGCTGAGAATCTTTCAACTTTATGCAAATGATTAACGACTTTCTTAAACAACATCTGATGGTCAACAGCTCGCTCAGAGGCTGGTTGTATTCTACGAACTGTAGACTTAAGCTGCCGTCACACTGGGCTTTTCTCCCCATAGACTTTCATTTATAGGCACTCAAATGCATCAGACCGGAACTCATGGTCATGCATCTAGTTTGGCAGGTTGCTGCAGTGCAAAGTTTAAGATTGATAAACTCTGACCTGTGAAATCGCATCACTTGCCTGCTTGAGACCAACCGAGGATCAAAACATGACCTCTCTGGAAAGAAATTTAAAACATGGAGCAATCACTCACTTTTTTAATGCCTAATAATCTTGTTTATTCCCGCTCCTTTTCGCAGCACTGCAAGACAGCATTTTGCATTATGAAACTCTAGTGTGATCGCAGCTTTACACAGACCCGCGTTTTCACTGCACACGACAAACAAGCATGGAGTTCCGATTATCTCCATATGCACAAAATTGGGATCTGATTTGAGCGGCAGATCTGTTCAAATATTTGAACTCCTGCGAGCAGACAGTATGGGACCGGCTCTTGCATTTGCACTCCTTTATTTCAGACACCGCGAGAATCAGCGTCACTCCC